GTCCGGCCGGCTTCCTGTCCATCCATAGATCCTCACAGCACCCTCAGCTTGCTCTCAGGTCAAGGGCCACATGTGCATAGAAGGAAATGACCTGCTCCCATGAAGGGCGACTCTTGGCTCAGAGCAGGAGAGGGTGACAGGTATGGGAGGGGAATGGCAGAGAACTGGGGCTGTGGGCAAGGAGTCCCCTGCCCAGACTGAAAATACCACACTGAGAAACAGAAGCAGAATTGAGATGCAGAGACAGGTTGCTCTGCTTGTTCACATGAAAATGGTGCCACAGCCAGTGTTGAGGAGAAGGAGCTGATATAGAACCTGCGTCCCGTGGGCTTGCGTGATGACGTCTGTGCAAGTGACCACCTGTGTCTAACTCAAGACTTGAAACCCAGTGAAAAGTTCACAGCAATTGTCTCTGGTTGTGGGACTTGTTCTTTGCTTGAATGCATTTTTCTGTATTTTGAATTGTTTTGCAGAGATTATGCTTTCTTTTCATGATCAAGAAAAATGATAAAGCTTTCTCACTTTGGAAAAGGGAGGCACTGGGGTCTCAGGCCCCTTGCATGACCTCATTTGTCACCATAATGCGGGCCTCGTGGGTGCTTGTCTTGGTATGTAAATATTACAGCTTCATTACCTAGCTTTGCAAAGAAGCTCGGTGATGCCTGTGCCTGTGCCAATTCAGGTGACAGGTGAGCATGAGGGCCATGATTTTGTGCCCCAAATCTAGCAGTTTGGGATCCAGGGCCTGTCCTGTTAGGAGCAGCTGCAGCTCAGATCCTTAAATCTCAGGTCAAAGGTACGGATACCCTCTGCTTCCCGGGTTCCCTGTCCCCACCCTGGCATGCTGGCTTGCCAAGAGCACCAAGGAGCTTCCTTCTACCACACTCTGTTTCATTCGCCTCCCTCCAGAGAGGTTGGAGGCTGGGATGGGCCAGAGCCTTGGCAAGTCAGCCTACAGCCTTTCCATCTCCCTCCCCGCCTGGGGTGGAGATGCAGCCTTGGTTTGCTAGGTTTCAAGGATGTGTAAGGTTTTTCAGTGGCAACTGGTAAGCTGAGCACATCACCTCCAGTGAGCACCAGGGAGAAAGCTGGTGCCAGGTGCCCACGGAGCAGGAAGTGTCACTGGAAGCAGAAGGTAGTTGTGCCCAGAGCTAGCAGCACTGAGGTTAGAAAGACATGGCTGCCCAGCAGCCAAATAGAAAACGAGCCTCTGTCCCTCCACACACACACACTCCCCTGCTTCCTTTATTTCCTGGAGCCCCAGGCCACCACCCCAGGTTTTTGGCATGATGCTTGTCCTTCCCAGTACAGCCCTGGGCACAGATTTCTCCTGGCTTCACAACTGAGCCCTCCATGTACCCAGGGCAGCTGCAGCTCCGTGAGCCCTCTTTCAGCTGTCAGGGCCTGGCCAGCTTGTATTGTGGGAGGCAGCTGCTTACCTGGCTTGCAGTGGGCAAGGACACCTCCTCCACCTTCCCTCCAGGCTTCCTGCCCCCACTTCCCAGGCACCCAAGCTAAACTTTGCACGGGAGTTAGAAATCTACTGTGGGACATTTGGGCTCAGTCCTATCAATCTTTAGCGCAAATTCATCAATAAGATCATTCACCACACAGGAGCCTGTGAGAACAAAGGAGCCTGTCCATTGGGGTGGCTGGGGGAGCTGGGTGGGAATCAAAGTTCCCAGCCTGGCTCTACTGCTCCTAAGCCCCATGATTTGGGGCAAGTTGTTTGACTTTCAGTCTCCAGATCTTTCTCTATGAAATGGAGACAAGCCCCACTCCTCCACAGGGTTGCTGCCAGCCAGTAGCCGAACTGTTCTTTTCTATAGCGAAGAAGCTCTTTGTGGACCGAAGTACGCAAATGTAATTGACATATAAACCATGAAGTCAACTATAAAAGCAGAGCCCCCCACCTTTTTTAAGGAAGGAGACATGGGTGTAGGAAATCAGATTTGGGTGGGAGGGCCTCGAGGTGCTGGGCAGGTAGAGGATTGCAGGAGGTCACTCCCAAGTGCCCCAGGACCTGCATGGGAGGAGCCACAATGGGGGAGGAGGAAGGAAAACAAACCAAACTTCTCTTCCGAGCAATTGCCTTTGGGGCTGTACCTCGTCAGGCCCTGGGTATGGTGGAGGCCCAGGAGCCCCCGTGGATTAACGAGTTCCAGGGGCAACTGGGGATTCAACTTTGTCAAAAGCATTCATTCAATCTAGCCAGTGAGTCATTATTTGGTGAACTCTCCACGGGCAGAGGCCTGGCAGCCACCCCGGGAGAGCGACAGTGGCTCCTTTCCCACTGAGGTGGTGGTGCTTTGTTGGAAGCCGCGCAGGCTGTGGGGGCCACACGCTTCCCTGCCACTTTACTGCCCCACCGTCTTTTAGACAGTTTTTAAAAACTGTAAAACCAATACTCAGTAGAAAAAAATTAAGTATAAAAAATGAAATTAAGGCCAAGGGCAGTGGCTCACACCTATAATCCCAGGACTTTGGGAGGCTGACGTGGGCAGATCACCTGAGGTCAGGAGTTCAAGATGAGTGTGGCCAACATGGTGAAAAACTGTCTCTACTAAAAACATAAAGATTAGCAGGGCATGGTGGCAGGTACCTGTAATCCCAGCTACTACGGAGGCGGAGGCATGAGAATCTCTTGAACCCAGGAGGTGGAGGTTGCAGTGAGCCAAGATTGTGCCATTGCACTCCGGCCTGGGTGACAGAGTGAGACTCCGTCTAAAAAAAAAAATTCAATTAAATTAAATGAAAACATAGTCCATAAGTGTATCTCTAAAGATAACCATACTCATTGTACTGATGTATCTCTCATCTCCTGTGCAGGCAACAGAGCCCAGGCTGTGCTGTGGTAACACACAGCCCCCAGTGACTGGGAATGGCCTTAGTAGAGGCCATTGCTCCACAAGGCTGAGGTCCCATCACTCCCCACTTGATTCACCCCTTCTTTACTATTTTTCATGTCCTGGTTCTTTTTCTCAATTAGGTAATTAATTTTTGTTGAGGCAGGGTCTCGCTCTATCACCAAAGCTGAGAGCAGTGGTAGAATCATGACTCACTGCAGCCTCGACCTCCCAGGTCAAGTGGTCTTCCCGCCTACAGGCATGTGCCACCATGCCTAATTTTTTATTTTTTGCAGAGATGGGGACTCAGTCTGTTGCCCAGGTTGGTCTCAAACTCCTGGATGCAAGTAATCCCAAAAGTGCTAGGATTACACCCATGAGCCACTACACCCAACCTGTCCTGGTTCTTTTTTTTTTTTTTTGGGTGGGGGGACGGAGTTTCACTCTGCAGCCAGGATGGAGTGTAGTAGTGTGATCTCGGCTCACTGCAACCTCCACCTCCAGGGTTCAAGTGATCCTCCCGCCTCAGCCTCCCAAGTAGCTGGGACTACAGGCACACGCCACCACGCCCAGCTAATTTTTTGTATTTTAGTAGAGACAGGGTTTTACCATGTTGGTCAGGATGGTCTCAATCTCTTGACCTTGTTATCCGACCACCTCAGCCTCCCAAAGTGCCAGGTTTACAGGCATGAGCCACCATGCCTGGCCCTATCCTGGTTCTTAAAGGCAACTGAGGTTGGAAATACCTAGTTTGGTTTTGTTGTTGTTGTTTTGAGATAGGGTCTCACTGTTCTCCAGGCTGGAGTGCAGTGATGTGATTGCAGCTCTCTGCAACCTCCCTCCCAGGCTCATGCAATTCTCCCACCTCAGCCTTCCAAGGAGCTGGAACTATAGGCATGTACCACTGGGCTCAGCTAATTTTTTTTGTTTTTAATTATTTAATTTTATTTATTTTTGAGACAGAATCTCACTCTGTTGCCCAGGCTCGAGTGTAATGGTGCAATCCCCACCTCCCAGATTCAAGCATTCTCCTGCCTCAGCCTCCCGAGTAACTGGGATCACAGGCATCTGTCACCAGGCCCAGCGAATTTAAAAAATATTTTTAGTAGAGGCTGGGTTTCACCACGTTGGCCAGGCTGGTTTTTGAACTTCTGACCTCACGTGATTCACTCCCCTCAGCCTTCCAAAGTGCTATGATTACAGGCGTGAACCACTGCACCAAGCTGAATCGTTAAATTTTTTATAAAGATGAGGTCTCACCATATTGCATAGTTTGGTCTCAAACTCCTGGGCTCAAGCAATCCACCCACCTTGACCACCCAAAGTGCTGGGATTACAGGCATGAGCCACCGCACACCCAGCCAGGAAGCCTTGAGATTTTTTGCATTAAGTAGAATGCTGGCACCTCAGGAGAGTGGCCATCTGCCATCCAGGGGAGACCTCACTAGAAACTAACACTGCCACTGCCTTGATCTTGGACTCCTAGCCTCCAGAGCTGTGCGGAAATAAGTTCTGTTGTTGAAACAAGCAAACAAAAAGTATGATGCTGGGTGCTGCTTTATGTCAGGCAATCTTTGCCATGATAACCATGACACTCCATTTTCTGTCTTTCTATGCCTTAAAAAAAATCAGAATGAAACATTGACTTGTATTGAATGCCTCTTCAGCTCTAGTTAGTTTTTTTCTTATTTTCCCTGCTATATGTCTTTAAAGTATAGGAACCATTGGGCATTCTTGTTTTGCCTGTTTTACATGTATTATTGGCCCTTCGCTTTTAAAATGTCTAAGAGTAACAGAAAGAAAATGTTTGCCAAGGCCCAGGTTTCAGAGCATTAACTTAGAGTGAAGAATTAGAGAGTCTCTGTTGGAGTGACAGCGTAGTGATTACAAGGCTCTTTGGGTTCAAATAACTGTTCATCTACCCAGTGATTTAGAGTCGTCTGTCCTGCCTGCATTTTGTTTTTGTCAAGGGGTGAACTGGGGCTACCATACATGTGCTTGGGTCTGTCCAGCTGCAGGTCACTTTCACATTGCGTTTAGTGAGCCTCAAATGCAGTTTGGACCCTGTAGCTTGGATGGTTTGGGAAGCTCAGACGAGCATGTGGGACTGACCCTGTCTCAATGGGTGGTGGTGGTGATGTCTTCTCTTCACAGAACTGTCTCAACAAACAGCAGCTCATCTCGGCCATCCGCCAGCTGCAGCAGCTGCTGAAGGGCCAGGAGACGCGCTTCGCCGAGGGCATCCGCCACATGAAGAGCCGGCTGGCTGCGCTGCAGAACTCTGTGAGCAGGGTGGCCCCAGATGCCCCTCCAGGTGGGTCCCCACGTCAGCACTGAGGGGGTGGCAGGGCAGCACTCAAGCACTTGTCCCTAGATGCTCCCAGTGGGAAGCCCCTGTGCCATGCCTCACCCATTCCCCCTCACTTCCATCTTCCATCTGTGGCCCATTTTTAACCCTGGTTGGTGGCAGTGGGGGTGGGGTGAGTGCATTAGAAAGGCAGCTGCCCTCTTTCTTCTCCTGAGGTCTGAATGTCACTGCATTTTCTCTTAAGCCTTTTCATTCTATCATATCTTCATATTGACCGGACTGTCGCAAGGCGCCACTTCTAGATCACACACTGCTTTTCCCTTCCCCATCCACAAGTTGGATCCAGTTTTGGTTTTGTTTTCATTTTTCATTTTAGTTTAATATAGTTTTTTAAAGCAGTTTTAAGTTCATAGCAGAGTTATGAACTTAAGACTGGGAAGCACAGAATTCCCCCACACTTTGAGCGTATGCATGGACACACACACACACACACATACACACACACACACACCCAGCCCACACCAGTGTGATACACTGGTTCCAGTTCATGAACAGGGTGGGCTCCAGTTCTTCAGGCATGAAAGTGCATCCTCCAGGGAGTCCCTGTTAGTACCAGGGCGGTTGGGAGAGAAGGGCCACTGAGGACAAGCTCCACTTGTCTGGTGAGGCTACAGCGGGCACCCCAGACTCCATCCCCTGAGGGCAGGATTCTGACAGACACAGCAGCACTATTTCCTGCTTGTCGTGTTACAGCTTTCACACTGCCAAGGCACTGAGATGGGCAGCTGGTTTTCCTCTGGTCTCTTCTCAGAGTTCTGGGGGACAGGGGACAGTCATCATGTTCATTCAAAGTCAGGAGCCTGTGGAATATCTGACATCATTTACTCACTGCAGACACATTTATCAAGGGCTGTCTTTGTTGAGTGAGTTGAAGTTTCCTGGGGAAGGCATTGGATTTCCTACCTTCTCAGAGATGTTGGTGGCAAATCCAGTTCTCAACAGCACTGAGTCTGTTCCTGTTTTCCTTGGCTCCACAGCTGCAGAAATAACCACCAGCCAAGCCTCACACTTTCCAAGGCACCATGAGGCCCAAGCCCTCACTGGGGCTCCACACACCCAAACTCCACGGGGCAGGCAGGGTGTCATTCCTTCCTGCTCCATATGGGGAAACTGAGGCCAAGACAAGTGAGTTAGCAGTCAGAGGTCCCTGATCTAGTGATTTTTTTTTTTTCTGCTAAAGGCTTGACTCCACAAAACCTTCCTTGCTTTCATGGGGTCAGAGCTCCCGGGGGGGGGGTTTCAGTGGAGCCCACAGGGAATGTTATACAATTCCCCTGTCCATGTGAGAGGCCCCTGCTCACTAGACAGATGGAAAGGCAGCTATTATTACATTATTCATCCTCCTTTCCAAGATTCAGGGGCTTTCATCTCTGAAATGTACAATATTTTTAAAAGTGGCAAATTCTCTTTTTAAAAAATTGCCATCATGTATTGTATCTCTAAGTCTGTGGGGGAAACCGTGCTGGGTACTTTATGTGCACAGAGGCTGATCCTTTGACAGCCCTGCAGAGGACAGGCAGCTGTCAGAATTCCTTTTCAGGGTGGCATGGGGGTTGGGCCTGCACCTGGAGGAAGACCAGACACTTGTCCAGATCAAATGGCACATAGTGGAAAAATCATCTTATTGCTTTTTTAAAGCGAGACAAGGTCTCACTCTGTCACCCAGGCTGGAATGCAGTGGATGATCCTAGTTGACTGCAGCCTCCCAGGCTCAAGTGATCCTCTCACCTCAGCCTCCTAAGTAGCTAGGACTACAGGTACACACCACCGCACCTGCCTGATTTAAAAAATTTTTGTAAAGATGGGGCCTCACTATGTTGCCCAAGCTGGTCTTGAACTTGAATTCCCAGGCTCAAGTGATCCTGCAGCCTCAGCTTCCCAAAGTGCTGAGATTACAGGCACGTGCTCCTGTGTCCCGCCTCTTGTTTTTTTTTTTTTTTTTTAGGGAATTTGTTGGGAGTCAGGAAGAATAATTGCTAGTTCTGGAGAATTCTTGGTCTTCCTTTCTGGCTTCCATATGAAGTATCTCCCTCCTATTTTCCTGGTCTTTCTTTCCTGGGTGCACCATCACAACTGATCAGCTTCAGGACTCATCCAGAGCAGTCTCAGTGGATTCATGTCCCTACGTTGCTGAGACTGCTTAACTGTGGATCTCATGCCTTACATGCAAACTTTCCCTCAGAGGCGCAGGGAGCTTCACTGTGGCTCTGCACACACCACAGGATGTGCTACTCATGAGCAGAATCAACCAAAGACGTGTTCTCCTCTTGTCACTGGAGAAGGGCCTTCAGCTCCCATTTGGGATGTGACTACAAATTGATTTTTAATTAATTTGTATCCATTCATCCACTCCATTCACATTTGTTGAGCACCTACTAAGTGCCAGATACTGTTCAATCTATTCAGGTATGGTATATTTGTGAGTTGCAGGCAGTTTTCCTTTGTTGAGGTTTTTAAAGATTTTTCATCCCCAAAGAGACCCTACTATTTTTCCTCAATGCATTTTAAACCCTTATAACACAATAAAGTACTAGGTTTTAAAAAGAACTCTTAACGTAATTTATTTCAGAGATGAGGCAGCACCCCGGGAGCAGCTGAGTCCCAGGATATGAGCTCTCATTCACGTCCTTCTCACAAGGTTATTACCACTGGGGCCCAACTTGGCGCTTTACTCAAGGAAGGTGATGCAGCAATGGGCAGATATTCCCCAATCGCCAAAGGGCCCTGAACACCCTTGGAGAGTCCGGCACCTCCCTCCTCCCAGCTCAGGCTGCCATAGATGCTCCTTGAAGGATCCCAGGTTGCGTCCAGCTCACGTGGGATTTTGGGCAAAGCTACAATGTCCTGCCAGTTGCCCTCCTGGACCAGGAGGCCCCTCATGCTCTTTATTGGCCTCAGGTCCAGGGTAGCCCTGATCAGTGCATCTTCATCCTCATCGGGGATGCTGAGTGACTCTGTCACTTGCTTTGACCTGCAGAGCTGAAGCAACAGTTCTGTTTTCATCTGTTTAAAATATTAAGATGGCAAATGACACTTGGAATTTACCTTAAGGGCATTTTAGAAGTGGGTCTGAATTTCCATGTAAACTGAGTCCAAATCCAAGCCATCCCAACTTTGGGCATCCGCTTATTGCCCATGCATGATGCTCTGTTGCAAAAAGAAGAGGGACAGGCTAGCTTCATTTCCTCTCTCTCCAACCATGTCAGCCCTTCAGGAAATTACAGAGCAGCCAGGTTTGGAACTGTGCCTCTCATGTCCAGCTACTACCCTAGCCTGAGCTTCCCTCCCCTTCTTCTTGCGTGGGCACTTCATGATCAAACCACAGCAGGAATGATGCTGGGAGTCAGGCCGCTTCATGCCTGGGCTCAAACCTCCAGCGGCCCCATCTCACACAGAGAACAAATTGCATGGCCTCCTTTTTTCTTTGCAATGCCCCATGTAACTCTATGCCCTCTTGCTCCTATTGCCTGTCTGACTCATCTCTAACTACTTTCCAACTCATCCCCTCTGCTCCAGCCCTATTGCCCCCTTGACATTCTTCAGACCTGCCAGGCACACCCCCACCTCAGGATGTTTGTGCCAGCTGCCCCTCTGCCCTCAGGCATCCGCCTGGCTATGCCTTCACCTTCAACTCGTTCTGGTGAGTCCTGCCCTGACCACCGTATTCAAAATGGTGCCCCCTCTCCGGCATCTCCAGCACTATTCCCTGCTTTCATCTTCTACATGGCCCCCCACTCTGCCATGGCTTATTATCTCCCCTGCTAGAAGGTGGGCTTCCTGAGGTTTGGGTTTTGTGTGTTTTGTTCATGATATAGCCCAAGTGCCTAATATAGGTCCTGGCACATCATAAAGATGCAATAAATAAGGTTTCATTCATTCATTTGTTCAAGAATGATTTATCAAGCATTCACTCTGTGCCAGGCAGTAGGCTGGTGCTGGGAATACACAGGAACATAGGCGAGATGCATTCTGACAGAGAGGACTGACAACGCATCTGGAAAGAAACAAGTCAATAAGGAAATCCCGATGGTTACAAATGCTGAGAAGAGAGCAGAGTGAGCGCCTGGTGTAGAGCGTGCATGGGGAGGTCTGGGCTAGGTGTGGTGGCCAGGAAACAGGTCGGGAGGCGGTGGCATATGAGTGGAAACCTGGGGAGTGAGAAGGAGACAGTTGTGAAAGCTCTGAGGAAAGAGCATTCCAGGCAGAGAGAAGAGCAAAATCCCAGGCCTGGAGCAGGGCTGAGCCAGGCCTGTTCAGGAGACCTGAGGAAACCCAGTGGGCTTGGGTGAGTATGTGGCAGTGACGGGGTGGATCCTTGCAGTCTGGGCTCTCCTATGCTTCGAGGCCCTGCACACAGCACTAAGTGTCTCTGAGCCCCAGTCTCGTCACCTTTTGCTAGGCAGGCATCGTACCACCCATCCATCCCCAAGAAAGCTTTGAAGACTTGATGAGACGCAGCATGTGGATGACCAGCACAGTGCACAGCCTGCAGCAGGCATGCAACAGAGGGCACTACAGATCGGAAGTCCTGTAACTCGGTGATACCTAAGGGCTGTGGTCCAGACAAGGAGCTCATAATCCTTCCATCTCTCCTTACAGTTTCCTGCCTGGCTCTGAACGCCCCTGCGGATGGCAGAAAGTTTGGAAGCAAGTACTTAGTGGATCACGAAGTCCATTTTACCTGCAACCCTGGGTTCCGGCTGGTCGGGCCCAGCAGCGTGGTGTGTCTTCCCAATGGCACCTGGACAGGGGAGCAGCCCCACTGTAGAGGTATCATTCCTCCTTCCCATTCCACTGCGCTGGACCCATCACAGCATAGCAAGGGGTTGCTGCACAGAACGTCATTACTTGGAACATTTTCTGCTTGGTTCTTTAATCATTCCTCAACCACAGAACAGGAGCCAATGTGCCTGATCACTCACCTCCATGCCAGGTTGGGGCTGGTCTCTATCTTCATGAGCTCACTAAACCTTCACAATAATTTAGTCTCATTTTGCATATGGGGAAATTAAGGCACACAGAGGTTAAAGAACTTGCCCAAGGTTACACAGCTAGGGGTTGGGGGGCACAGTTAAGATGCTTCACACCTGGACACTCTGACCCCAGAATCTGTGCTCCTTCGCACCATTCTGTTCTGGAGACTGGTGACTGGTTCTTGTCAGTGTGAGGACAAGAAGCTGCCTTGGGTTGGGGAAAGGGACCACGCTCCTGTGGCTGCTCAGTTCAGGGCCTGCAGTCTGTCTGTGAGGCTGCTGGTATCCTCTGGGACTGAGGATATCGACAGGTGTCCTTTCCGTCTGCACTGGGACTTGGTATCAACAGGCTCCGGAGAGTCCACTGTGTGGGGGAGGCATGAAAAGGCTTCTCTCTGTGCTGGGTTTAAAAACAGCACTTTTTTGATATAGAGGAAAATCAGCCTTGGCATAAATAATCTGTTGGCTTTTCAAAAACCCATGGTAAAAACATCCTGGCTACCAGTCATCAATTATTTTCAGAGCAAGGTTCGTGGGACACCTGCTGAGGCAGAATGTCCATGATTCTAGCCAAAGAGTTGAAGGAGAAACACAGACGTTATGTAAACAAGGAGGTTGCAAAGAGCAGAGTAGAGAGAGGACTTTGTTTTCATTTTTGTTTGAAATGGAGTCTCACTCTGTCATCCAGGCTGTAGTGCAATAGTGCAATCTCAGCTCACTGCAACCTCTGCCCCCCGGATTCCAGCAGTTCTCCTGCCTTAGCCTCCTGGGTAGCTGGGACTACAGGTGCCTGCCACCATGTTCGGCTAACTTTTGTATTTTTAGTAGAAGCGGGGTTTCACCATGGTGGCCAACTGGTCTTGAACTACTGTACTCAAGTGATCTGCCTGCCTCCGCCTCCCAAAGTGCTGGGGTTACAGGTGTGAGCCACCGTGCCTGGCCAAGAGAGGACTTTGGATGCTTAAATTATTTGAAAACATAGAGGGACTCCAGAAAGTATGCCATCCTTGAAGATGAGTATGGATTGCCATGAGAAGCTCAAGGCAACCAGAACCACATTTACAATTTAGGCCTCTGTTTCCTGTCCCCTTGAAAGAGTGATGATGGTTCAAAGGTTGATGACCAGCTCTCAGACCTATCTGGAAACCAGCCAGCAAGTACAAGTCATGTAACATACAAGCAAAACAGGGGAAATGCCAATATCTGGTATTTACCTACTTGACTCTCAAGCCAGGTTAAGCACCTCCTGGGTGATAAGCCATGTCAGGGAAGGTGGGTACACACAGATATTTCATTTTTATTGCTTTGGGTGTCAGTATTTTTGACTTATAGATTGAGTTACAGACCCTGGTTGGTTTCCTTCTTGGTCTGCTCAGCACTTTTGGGACCCATCTGCATTGCCACGTGCAGCCTGCTCCAGTGTCTCTGATAGCTGCTTTGTCCCCTCCAGGGTTCACCCCCACATCTGATCTGTCCACTACCTGCCATGGACACCTGATTGCAGTCAACTCCTGGCCATCACAAACAACGCTGACAAGGCCTTCTCATTCTCCGACGTTATCTCTGGGCTGTGTATCTGTGGCTGGAGGGGGCCTACAGCCTTCAGGCTCACTTTGAACTGAGCACTGCCTGCTGCTCTGCAGAAGGGCTGCACCAGCCCACGTGCCCCCCAGCGGTGCTGCAGGCAAAAACACATCTTACTTGTGTGTGTGCTTTTTTTTCTTGCTTGCTCAGGTATTATCCAAATATTCTGTTCTCGACAGCAACATACATCTACGTTGTGCATTTAAAATGAATAGATGAGTTCATCGAAGAAGATAGCAGAAAGAATGCCTTTTTAGGCAGATAGATACAAAACACTGGAGGCCCAGGAACATCATCTTAAGAAGTGGCTCAAACAAAGGAAACCGTAGTTGGTTGACAAAGGTGGAGACCAAAAGCACTCCCCACAGTCCATCTCCATCCTAGCAGCCGGCCAAGGATGCCTTCCTAGAGGATCCTGGGTATGTCCGTCAGCTTCCTTCTTGACCTTGGGTGCTTTAGTCATGCATTTGCACCTGCCTCACTGCAGCAGGACCCCTTAATGGAAAAGAGGGTCCTGCCGCGTCATGACTTATGCTGTGATGTCAAACATTCAGGTGCTCCAGAGTTACCCAGGAAGCTCATAAAAGGCAGATTCTGAAGTCTCAAAAGGCCTACCAAGTTCGGGCCTTTATAGATGTAGACCTAAAACATCTGCATTTTTAATATGTTCCCTAAGTAATACTGCTGTTAACTAAATTTTGAGAAGCACCACTTGATTCATTCTTGCTATTGCCAGAAGCAAAAAATATATTGAAAACTTTGAAGTGCTAATGCATTTTGGGCCCAAACCAGTCAGAACGACTGCCAGCCACAGGCAGGACAGTAGACTGTGCGTGTGTCATCTCTGTCCAGGGAAGACGCCTGTTATGCTCACTGCTACTTGCCCTGATGTTTTAGGAAGGCCAAACCTACTCTTACAAAGATCAGAGCCCCCAACCCTGCTGGGCAGACTTCCCTTTCTTGAGATGCAGAGAGCAGACTTTGCCTGGAGGACGACGGTGCAGAGCAGTGGTCCCAACTGCCAGGCAACCAGCAAGTTTACTGACCTTTCTCGTGGTCCAGCGTGGTAATCTCCTGAGTCTTGCCCTTGGACTTAACGGCTCATTCCAGATGCACTTTGTGTTCTTTGTCTCTCCTCTCCCCGCAGCCTTCTTCCTAGCCTTTTTTCCTTTTTTCCTGATCTCCACACCAAAGGGCTGCATGGTGCGGCGCCCCTGGGGATGTCTCCTTGGGCTGCATGTGCCATCTAAAACTTGGGAAGGACTGACTCGGGGAACAAGGTGATGGCCAGACCTGATGAGATCTTAGATGGAGATTTTTCTTCTCTTCAAGTGTAGATGGGGCCTGGGTATTGACCCCATGGTGGTGATTGAACAAAAACACTCATGCGTTATAACCAAGCTGCTCCAGCAGCTGCTGGCCATGGCCCCTCCTAAGTGTGTACACTGCCTGCGTTGACACTTCTGTTCACAGCAGGAATTGATGTGATTCATGGATGTTGTCTCCAGCAAGAGCCTCAAAGCAGCTCCAGCCAAACCTGTCAGGAGGGAGAAATAGTGTTCCTGACTGCTGTTTGATAACCTAATGTGACAGCATTAAGGGTGTGGACAGGACACAGGCTGGAACTCAACAATCTAGAGACCAACCCTAGAAACTTACCAACAACCACTGAGCACACCCACTGCATGTTCCAAATCACCAGTCATGTGGTCACCATATGTTATGACCACAGGGGGGACATAATCTTCTTAATTACAGAGAATTCATTTCAAGACGCAAAATATCAGTGCCAGTGACAAATTTGGCAGTACTGCCATAATTGTCCTGCACTCCAGCCCCAGTCAGCTGCTTGGAAAGAGGGTGATGAACCCAACTTGGCAGGGAAGGAAATTACACATAATTACTCCATTTAAAAAAAGCAGGCAGGGCAGGCACAGTGGCTCACGCCTGTAATCCCAGCACTTCAGGAGGCTGAGGCGGGCAGATCCCTTGAGGTCAGGAGTTCAAGACCAGCCTGGCCAACATGGAGAAACCCCACCACTACTAAAAATACAAAAATTAGCCAGGTGTGGCGACAGAGGCCTCTAATCCCAGCTACCCAGGAGGTTGAGGCAGGGAGAATGGCTTGAACCCAGGAGGTGGAAGTTGCAGTGAACAGAGATCACGCCACTGCACTCCAGCCTGGGCAACACAGCAAGACTCTGTCTCGGGAGAAAAAAAAACCCAGCAGGCAGAGGTGGGGTCCAGAACTCCAGAGTGGAAAGTAGCCACTTGGCTTTCTCCATTTCTCCATTATTTTCCTTTTTACCCCCCTCCTTCTTCCTCTGAAGCCCTGTTTTTAAGATGTAAAAGCTTTCTGAATTAGGAACCAAAGCTGAAGCTCTTGTGCCTTTGGTTTTTTCTTTTTTCCTTTTCAATGTGGGTAACCAAAGAAACAAATTTGAGAGATATAAATACCACTGTCACTTATCATCATGCTGGTGAAAAGGAATCTTTTGTCAGCCGTCCCCACCCTTTATTTTTAACCTTCATTCTCTTATTAAGCCAATTTTTACTGAGCACCAGCCATGCACAAAGCCTTGTGCCAGATGCTAGGGACTCAAGCCTGAAACTCACAGACATGGCCCCAGCCTCTGTGGCACACAGGCTAAGCAGGGAGGCAAAGCAAAGCAGGCAGCCACACCTTAAGGGAAGCGAGCTGACGTTTGCGGTGAAGACCACACAACCTAACAAGGGATAGTAAACAGCATGGGGCATGGAGCAGCTGAGGGCTTCTGAGCAGAGGACAGTGACACTGAGATGAAAGAAAGAACGGGATCTAGACAGGCAAACAGCAGGTAGTTGGGCAGCGTAGGGCAGACGCTGTTTTAAGAAAAGGAAGGAAGGGCTGGGCGTGGTGGCTCACACCTGTAATCCCAGCACTTTGGGAGGCCAAGGCTGCTGGATGACTTGAGGCCAGGAGTTCAAGACCAGCCTGGCCAACATGGTGAAACCCCATCTCTACTAAAAATGCAAAAAGTTAGCCAGGCATGATGGTGGGTGACTGTAATCCCAGCTACTTGGGAGGCTGAAGCAGGAGAATAGCTTGAACCTGGGAGGCAGAGGTTGCAGTGAGATGAAATCGGGCCATTGCACTCCAGCCTGGGTGACAAGAGACAAGAGCAAAACACTGTCTCAAAAAAAAAAAAAAAAGAAAGAAAGAAAGAAAGAAAG